CGGGCGAGGGGCGTCCTTATTGTAACCTACAGCCAGTACTTCAGGTCCTTCGGCCCCTTCAGCATTCCAAAAGGGCCCTTGTACTTTGGTCTCGAGTACCTTCGGTCTCTTCGAGCCTTTTCAAGGTCCATAGCGGACTCGGGGCTGACACATGACCCTGTTAGACCCCTGCAAGAAACAGCCGTGTCCACGGTCGCGCGGAAGCAGCCACGTGGCAGGCGATACAGGACGAAACTGGCGGGCAAAGGGGGCATGGTAGTGTTAGCTCGAGCATTACTTGCGTCAGTATGTAACCGCTCAGTCATGAGGGGAGGTATGGGTACCAGGATGCCTGCACCGTGTGCACAGCGCGGTTTGTAAGGGTATAGCTATGGGAACATAGATGTTCAGCGAAGCCGATGTAGCAGGCACTTTGACCAGTATGAAATCGTGAAACATGTGATAAAATTTACAGAAAACAATGGGGATGAAATGGTCGGCAGTAGTCACATCGTTGCAGGCATGATACGCGATTATCCGGATTCGATGACCGCTTAGCCACGTCGCTATATTCCGTGGTCGCGTTGCGCTATATGTGGTAAAGTCGCATGCATTGCATTTACGAGCCCACGTTGAACTTGGCTTTTTAAGGGCTATGGCGAGGATTGGGAGCGTAAAGTTTTCGGTTCGTAGTGACTTGGTTGGTATGCACCTCACGCTTCAATCTTTAGCCTGTTTCCCACGGCCCCAGTTCTCGGCCAGCGTGGTGCGAAGAGCCAACTGGTTGCTTGGCGAGGGCTGGAGCCGGACTGTCGCGTGAAGCGTCGGACTGCCGCGGCGCGGGTTGTCGGACTGGTGTGTAAGTCATGCCTGCAGAAAGGTTTGGACCTCCCAAAATTTTAAGCGAGGCAGGTATGTTTCTTCCGCCTGCAGCCAACAGCGAGCATCTGCCTCAGTAGGGTATTTACGATGTTTCCCTGAGACGCGTCCACTCCTCACCATATTTACGGCTGCATTAACATGTGCTTGAATGAATGCTCACTTAAGAATCCCTGAGGCACATCAAAATGGGACTAAGATCATGTCATGTCTCACGCCACGCCACAATTTTCGCGAAAATTCCTTCTTTCAGAGAAAAGGTTACATGCCTCCCCTCTTCCTGTGACAAAAGGTCTCATGTGCCTCCCCTCTTCCTGTGACATGCTGCATATGCCCCGCCCTTAGTCTGCCCCAATGCCCTGTGGCAATCACGCGCAGTTTCGTTAATCATACATGCATATATGTACATACACACACACACACACACACACACACATATATATATATATATATATATATATATATATACATTTATATATATGCATGCATATTTATATATGCATATAATATACACATATATGCATATATATGTATATGTTTGATTAAAAATAACTGCTGACTCAGCATTCACGAGCTTTTTGATGCATCGTTCTAGTTTCCGGGCCTTTGGCTTGGTGTCATCGCTTAGATTAAAGATGGTTCGCACCAAATTACTCATATATTCATCACTCCTTCCATTGTACGTGCCAGAATGGATCTCGAAACGTTAGAATGGAAGGAGTAATGAATATATGAGTAATTTTGTGCCAACCATCTTTAATCTAAGCGATGACGCCAAGTCAAAGGCCCGGAAACTAGAACGATGCATCAAAAGCTCGTGAATGCTGAGTCAGCAGTTATTTTTAATCAAACATGTATCAAACAAAGGATTTTCCCAAAATATTCCAATATATGTATATATACAGCTATATACACAATATATACATATATATATGCATAACCGTTAATATAGCAGTTTCCACTGAGAACGATCGCCTAGCCCGAATTTCGCCAGAGAGTCCTGGTCAAATCGAGTCATAAGAGGCCGTTCAGCCGGATGGCACTCGAGACCAGGCAAGCTATATAGGCCTTAATTACCGGAGGTATATGTACAGTGTTAATAACTATGTGCTTCGACCTGACCATCTCAGTTCCAAGCTGTACTTAAGAGTCGAAACTGCACGATACATTCCCTGTAATGCCCTCCCCGCCACACAAACCCAAAGCGAGCTGAAACTGGGTTGACGTGTTCTGCACAAAAAGGAGAACTCATTTCCCAACAACGAAAAAGAGCATGCCATTAACATCTCAGATGTTTTGTGGACACACGCAAGTGGTACATTTGAGTAGTTCATGACGTCATGTTTAAAATCGCAGCCCGATATTACTCATATATTGGTCGCTCTTTACATTCGAACGTTTCGAGATCCGATCTCATCGTCTGAAAAGACTGAACGGCATAAGAAATGAGTTTTGATTTTTAAAGAACAAACATTGTGCACTATTAGTGGAAAACGTCTTTTGGCACGAAGAACACGAATGAAGCATGACTAATTGAAGAAAGACAGAATCCTACACTCATAATGGGAACACTACAAAGACACAATGAGAACACTATTGCTACAATCACATCAACAGTGCTCACCGCCCACCATCTAACAGTTCAAGAGCTGTGCAAAGATTTGTTTGTCTGTTTAGGGCTGGAGGGAGTTCGTTAATGAATATACTTTCCCAAATTTGAAGGGAGCTTCTGTCATTGCACGTCCGTAAAATGTCGGTGTTGTCTGTCAGTTGTTGTCGTGTCAATGTCCTGTCGTGTTCGTGTCGCATGTGGTCTAGAGGTGCCCTGTCGCGTAAGTGCATTGTCAAGCATCTGGAGTGTCGATGTGGTCACACCAATGTAGTGTGTGGAACGAAGTTTGCAGCATTCGATGTTGCATTTGAATTGATATACTACATTGGTGCATTTTAGTTTGTTGGGTCCGTCTGAGCACTTTGTCATACGAAAGCTACAGATTGTCCTATTTCGATAATAAATGACTACGTCTGTTTTGTGGTCGTTCTCGCCTTTAACATGTCCAGAGATAATATCCCGTAAGGCTTTTTCGTCTTGTTTGTGGGCAGATGTCCTTTGATTTTGATAATACAGTTTGACGGTTGGTCGGATGTCTTGTCTTGGTTTGCTGTCAAAGTGTCTTGTCGTTTGTCGTATTTCGTGTTCAACGTCAGAATTTTTAAAAAACCATTGTTCAATAAGATCTGTCTGATTCTTATCAATTCTGAATGTAGTCCTTTCCAATGAGAGCAGTACTTAAATGTACGTCTAATGAAGAACCTAATGATCCTAATTTTGTAGCGTCGAGGACACTCACTGTCAGCATTTAAGCACCGCCCGTTGTTGTCTGCTTTCGGCATACAGTCACTTTGAATCGTTGTCGCTGTCCATCAAGTCACGTCAAAAAACGGTATTATATTTTGTTATGTTATTATGCTTTATGCAAATTTTAAACCGGACTGGTCTTCAAAGGTGTTTTTGAGACGTCCTGGTTGGCCCATGTCCCTAACTTCCACAAAGATATCGTCCACGTAGCGGCAGTAAATATCCGGTCCTCTGTCGTCATTTTGCAGTGTGTCAGCTTCTATCTGTCCCATACCAAATTAGTGAATAAAGATCCTAGAGGTGAGCCCATCGCAACATCCTCAAATTGGCAATACATTCGTACATCATATCTGCGGAAAGGAACTTCCAACGTACAGACTTTTAGTAGTTGTTTATGTAGGCGCTTTGATATTTTGACAGGAGGAATTTCGGGATGATTGTAAGCCCGGTCAAGGATGACGGACATGGTTCTCTCAATGGGCATGTTTGTTAATAGATTTTCAACATGTGGACGGGCTGGTAAACCCTTAGATTGACGAAATCGCACTATAACAATAAAATGTATATTGAATTTGTTTTAAAGACCTTTAACGAATTCAAAAAAGTGTTTAAAACATATACTTAATCTAAGCGATGATGCCAAGTCAAAAGCTCGGAAACAAGAACAATGCGTCAAAAAGCTCGTCAATGCTGAGTCAGCATGCAAAGTCGAACATGTATAAGAGGAAGGATTCTGCCAAAATATTCCAATACACACACACACGCACACACACAAGTATATATTACACACACACACGCACACACACAAGTATATACATATATATATATATATATATATATATATATATATATATATATATATATATATGCGTGTGTCCGTGCGTGACTTGTGTGTATAAACTTAAGAAACAGATTATTATTTATGCATATTTTCTTCAAAATTACAGTGGACTCAGCATTGATAATCTTCTTTGATGTTTTCAAAAAAAAATGTTATGGCAGCTTTCGCTTCTTCTCCATATTTACCCGTTTAAAATTGCACCAAAGCTCATGATGAAAGAAGATACAGGTTGTCATATTGCATGACCTGGTATAAGTTATATCCTCAACGTTTCATCCTTCATTGGACATTTCCTGGAGCGGCTGTTCTGCAAAGTCGATATGATCACATGTTTTTAAAATTCATGTCTGTCGTGTCATTCATGTCATGTCATGTTTGAACTGCACAAACACGCGATCATATCGACTTTGTCTAAAATTGCCACTCTAGAAAATGCCCAATGAAGGATGAAACGTTGAGAATGTAATTTACACTATATTATCGTGAGCTTTGGCACCATTATAAACGAGCAACGAGAAGCGAAAACTGTCATCAGATCCTTGAGAAAACATTTTAAAAATCATAAATGCTGATTACACTGATTTTTAAAAATACGCATATATATATACATACATATATATATATACACACACATATATATATATATATATATATATATATATATATATATATATATATATATAGATATATAGATATATAGATATATACATAGATATAGATATAGATATAGATATAGATATATATATATATATATATATATATATATATATATATATATATATATATATATATATAAATGCCCAATGGCCAATGACAACTGACTGTATATATATATGTAAATATATATATATATATATATATATATCCCCATACGTACGTGCCATGCCTGTCAATAACGAACACATACCACCCTCTATAACTCATTGACGATAAATTCGGTTCTATTCTATTGCAGCTTTTTTGTATTCAGTTTCAGTTCGAACAGCAACGTGAAAAATGTGCGCGCGAAAGAAGTTATATCACATAATGGGCCATTGCTCCCAGAGCGGCACGAGTCATATGCATTGCTATACGGCCCAGCGGTATCGAACAAGTCAACCTCTTTACCAACCCCAGTTCAGACACAAGACCTGGACGGAAAGCAAAGCATACATGGGCGGGTAGCATAAAGCCTCGATCAATGCACTGTTTCACTGATCAAGATACGGCATATTGTCGTGTTTCATCAGTCGCAATGCCGAAACTGAGTCCTACACGCAATTGCAGCCCAGCACAACGCATCGTGCCAGCGTACTCCGCTGATAGTGTCCGCATGCTACACTCGGTATCATGACAACCCAGGAGAGCGCGCCACCTCCATCCCAGCCCCAGTGGCACTGCTGCGATCGGCCAACATGTCCTCTTCTCTGCAGCCCTGCGGCACACGCGATCATTGCCAGCCCGACACAGGCAGTGTCCCATGACGCGCGCGCCTCTTTCGTGGGCGGTGAGTTAGAGTCACTCCGGTGAGTTACTCCGCCGGCAAACGTAGCGCGCCTGATGCCCGGCACGTCGCGTTGACGGAAGAAGTCCCGTCCACGGGGGCGCGTCCGCTCAGATGCCAATGTTGCACTCTGAGGGCGGCTAGCTATCGGAGTCGACCCGCGCGACTTTGTAAGACTGGATCTCATCCTCCTCCTCCAGCATCTCCCGCATACGCCGCTTGTACGCCTGTGGCAAGACAATGGGGTTAATGCACCTTGCAGAAGCTGTTACTGCTGCTACTCAAAACGGCATTGCCCTGATCCAGTGGAATAAACGAAAGAAAGCGTTGTTGCATTCTAGCCGAAAGAGTTCAGTGTTCCAAAATTGATTTGAACGTGCTTTTACCATGGACACGCGGGGAAAAAGCAAGAAAAACTTTCTGGGTAATTCAAGAGTAACATCCACACACAATCACACAAATTCACGTCATAACATAAAGACTACTAATCCAATGACAATAAAAAGGAAGAAACATTGTTGTGAAAAAGCAACAAGTTGTTTACAGCTAAGCGAGGTGCCGCCCAAAACCAATCGCCCAAGAAACACCCGTGAGACGCACCTGACTCTCTGGATTGTTGTCCTGATTCCTGCACTTCTCCAGCTTGCGCTCCAGCTGCTTCACAACATCGCGCTGCGGCTGCTCCACCATCTTGGCAAGCAGCCGGATCTTCCGCACCGCCTCCACCAGTGCCTGCAGCTGCGGTCGCGACGCTGACGACAGCAACTGTGACGTCACATACGCGTCTAGGTTCTCCTGCACGCGGCTCACAGCGTACAAAATGGCCGCCAGTGCGATCTGCGCAGGCGCGAACAGCAGCACAGCGTCTGTGAATAGCACAGCCTCAAGGAACTCGTCGATGCCAGCACGCAACCGGTCTGGGCTCTGCAGGCTGGAACAACGGGTCTTAATGTCTATCAGCAGACCCTCCACTGGCCGGAATGGGTTGTGCACGGTCAAGTGGTAGTTGACGGCGTGCATCACCGTCAGCTCGTTGTTGAGGATGATGTCTGTGGCCTTGTCTTTGTCACCCTTCACGTTGGCCACAAACTGGCCGATGGACACGTTGAATTCCTCCACCTTGCACGAGAGGTACACACATGTTACAAGGATACCCTTCGGATGGAAGTCCATCACAGAGCTGTGCATGTAGAAACGCTTGAAGTAGTGGCTGGCTGTGCCCAGGACGGCCTTGGGCATCGGTGGTTGGAAAACCTTGCAGAAGTCGCGCAAGTGGTACTCATAGTACTGAGTCACAATCTTCTCCTCTTGAGCAGAGAGGAAAAACTCGGCCCTCTTGTCCTCAGGCATGCCGGCACCATGCTTCTCAATGAAGCGACGGTTCGTCTCCTGTCGGCACTTGAAGATTTCATCATCATCCTTAAACATCCAGTGCTTTTTCTGTGTGCTTGTAGGAAACATCCTGTGGCATTTGTGAACCTGTTGATGGAGAAGAACAAATTATAAATGAACCACTTAAAAAAAAAAAAATGGAGATGCAACTTAGGATATGTGATGAATTAATAATTAATGAGACAGTGGATAATTCATGCACATATTCCTAACAACTAGAATGCTCTTCCAGTGCAGTGGTGTCAGTGGTGACACACCTTAAGGCCAGGATAGGCTTCCACTGGTTTTACAGTTCACACCATGTAGCACATACCACACATTACAATGGTTGGAAAGGAATATAAATGGGGGTTTTATGAGAGTGGAGCCCACCCTCCTGGCAGCTTTTATTGCTGCCTTGGGCAAGACAAATCAGACCAACATGCCAAAAGGCACAGGGTGTAGGGGTCAAATGGAAACAGCTTAGCAACTGACAGAACAGGGGTTAAAATGAAGAACAGCTAGAAGGGTCAAACCTTCTACCTGTATTTGCATGACATACACATAATTATGCAGGTTTTCACAGTCTGGGGAAGGCATTTAGCAAAATTTGTTGCTGCAAAGTCAAGTTAAAGCTTCACAGCCACATACAGCATTTACATGGTATAAAACATCATCAAATTTCTTTGATCTGGTTATTTTTGTCCATGCAAGCCAACTTTGTTGTCAGGTATTCACCTACATGCTAATGCATGCAAAAATATTTATAGGGAGTATATCACACTGCTGCCCTGATGTGGATAAATTGTGAATATCATTATTTGAATGATGTGTGTCATATGGGCATTATGATACATCTGATTTGCATTACAGTGGTGTACATTGTACCACTGTTTACAGGCATCTAGCTGAACAAATTTGTCCACTAAGGCCTGACCAGGAGAAACATTGATATTTTAAGTTTGAGGTTGATGAGTGATGTTAATGCTTAAGATAGGCATACTTGTAGCAGGCAAACATTTAAGTGCTTATGTGCCTAAAGACATAATATGCTCCTAAAATATTACTGCTTTATTATCAATTATACTGTCTGATGTTTAGAAACATCCATCAATGAGCCACTTCATAATGCAGTGCAAGATAAAAATGCAGATGATAACCCAGGCATCCATCACCACCTCACTTTCACACCCCTTTCAAACACTAATGGTCTTTTGACACCACGCATTCCTGGTCTGGGCAAATAAGCGAAACCATATGCAAGTACCCACGCTCAAGGAAGCGGCGTGCATCAAAGAACCATGGCAGACTATATGAAACAACCAAACTATAACAGCAATCGACTTAATGCCCGATATTTGGTTCAAATGTGTTCGTGTCTATAACACAGGAACGCAGATCCCACACCGCAACCTCTGTTATCCCCGCACCGCAACATGCCTTACAATCGATATGACGGTTTGAAGTCCTACCAGCATCGGTAGTGCAACATCTGCGCCAGTCTGTCTTCTGGAAAGAGACACCATATTCTTAGTCAAATTTAAAATTGTGATACTGATAAAACAGAGGCGTAGTATATTGTTTTGGTGTTCCGCCGCGCTTGCCATTCTGGCATCCATAAAGAATGAAAAATAATGATTTTTCACATGACTCATTAAAATTCCAGCCCACAATGTTGTAAGAATATCTTTTACCCGACATCGTTTCTAGAAGTTTCTGACTTATTTCGGTCCTAGTATATTTTCTGACGTCATTTAGTTTGCTGACCGCTTAAATTTTATACCTGTTTCGGCGTTCAGGTACACAAACCTTGACCGATCGGTGCACACATTTGTGGGTTCGTGCGGTTTGCCCGCGTGGAATTTCGCGGTTGTGAAGGTACTGCACGTTTGTGCGAATTTCGGCATCCCGACTGACGGCAGCTTTACAGCAGGTCGGTCCATGATTTATTCTAGCATTGCATGAACGGTGTGTAAGTGGGGAAAAGGTACGATTGATGGTGACAGGTCGGTCTCTGTCATTCATGTGAAGGATGGGAGAACTCCGCAATAACGATGCGTATGAAAAGAGCTGCTCAATAATTTTTATTCATGTGTAACTATCCGCATAGTACGTCACGCATGGATGAAGTTAGGAGTTCTTGATGGACTATTTCCAAAGTGTAACTGCGTCAGCTTTACAGTAGGTCGCCCATGACTCACTCTTCAACTGCGTGATTGGGCGCACAGATGGAGAAAAAGGCATGATTGATGCTGTTATGCCATTCTTTGTTTTTCACATGAGGGATGCAGGAAGTTTGCAGTAACAATGCAGATGAAGAGAGCTGCTCAATAATTTGTATCCATCAGTGACCATCCAAATAGTGTGTTACACATGGATTAGGATATGGGTTTTTGAAAGGGTGTTGCCAAAGTGTAATAAGAGGGAGGGGGTTTGGACAGCTTGATATTCAAAGCTCCCTTTTGGAACTGATGTCCCATGTGAATTAACATATGTGACAGGGGGAGTAACCTGAAACAGACATGCCCGAAATGAACAATTCAGAGGAAAGGTGTGTCATACTTAAATCACAGAGTGGATCAGCCTTCAGCTCTGGACTGCCATTATAGGTCCTAACATAATTTCCAGCAATATGTACTCTTGAACAACCAAGGTTTTCTATTCAGGACGTGACGATGAAGGCTTTTTAAAATTTAGCGAACCTGGCGGGCATATTTCAATAACTTGTAATGCATATAGACATAAATATACATATTCTGAGCTCACCTATAACTCTGTCTGATCTGTGAGTGTCATTTACTGATGGAGCATTAATACATGAATGAACAAATCTCTGTTTGCAGGCAGTTTGCAGGCAGCCATTTGCAGGCTTTAACCATAACTACTCTTAGCCCTCTGTTACATCATTTTATTCATCCTGGCTGGCATGTTGTCATCCTGGTAGACCCAGGTCTACTTGCAGCTTCAGGCCTTGTTCCAGTTAAGAAATGAGTCTAAAGGGCTCAGATGAATGTGGAGCTGACTGCTAAAAAGCCCTCTGACTGACATTTCAGGTCACAGCTCTTCAGGGGGGGGGGGGGGGGGGGGATGCCAGAGTCTAAGCAGGGCCCTTGATCTTCAGTACAAATGGGGCCCTTTGGCCTATTTTGTGAATAGGGGCAACCAGTCAACCCATGATGCCCTGTTAGGTACTGTAGGCCCCTGACTGACACAGGGGCCCAACCATTATTTCAGGAGCCAGGCTTATGTGAATTGTGGCCCTGTTTTGCTCCTGCTTGGGAAATGGCCCACCAGGGTGACAGAGGACTGACTGACAGAAAGCCAGCTGTTTGGTGCTTGAGGTCTCTGGCTAGGGAGCTAACTGACAGAGAGCCAGCTGTTCAGTGCTTGTGGTCTCTGGCTAGGGAGCCAACTGACAGAGAGCCAGCTGTTCAGTGCTTGTGGTCTCTGGCTGGGGAGCTGACTAACAGAGAGCCATCTGTTTGGTGCTTGAGGTCTCTGACTGGGGAGCTGACTGACAGAGAGCCAGCTGTTTGGTGCTTGAGGTCTCTGGCTGACAGATACAGCTGGCTCCAACTGCAAATCAGGAGTCAGGAGTCAGATCCATGTCTGGCAAACTACAAATCACTTGCCATGGTTTTGTAATTGATTGGGAAGTGGGGCCTCAGGCCAATACTGACATGGAGCTGACTGTGCAATACTGATGGTGCCTGACTGACATAGGCCCATATCAACTCAGGGGGTCCCTGGTTGGTGAAAAGGGCCCTCTGACTGTCATGTGAGGTCCTGTCCCTGCATGTTGGCACCCTGAATAAGACTCTGGCCAACCCATTATGCTTTTAGACCCTCTTCAATGGGGCCCTTGATCGTCGGACCTGGTGGGCCCTCCAGGCTCTTCAGGCTTCCTTGAATACTGTCTCTGGCTGACTTGGAGTTCCTTGCCAACACAGGGCCCCCATTTAAGGCCTGCTGTAGGGCCTCACACACACTGTGGCTCTGACCAGTGTGAATCGCTCGCTCCAGTTTTGACCCTGCTTGGGAAATGGGCCCTCATGCCCAAGCCGCCACTGAGCCGACTGCGCGTTACTGCTGGTGTCTGACTGACCTATAGGGCCTTTCGACTCAAGGAGCCCCTGATCAGCAAGCAGGGCCCTCTGGCTGCCATTGGAGTGTCCGGCCTTGCAGACCGGGACCCCTGAAAACGACCTTCGGCCGGCCTTTCTGGTCCTTATCGGAGGTCCCGGGGCACCTGAAGGGACCCTCGGAACGTAAGGGGCGGCACGTGCCCCATTGTGCCCTCCCCCCCCCCCCCTCCCGCCTGCGCCATTAGAGTTAACATGGCGTCGGAATGAAGGGTGGCATTGCTGGTCACCTGTTCATAGGTGGCAGGGTAGAAAAGATGTGCTGCTAGGAGTGGCCGCAAATCATGCTAAATCATTAAAAAAAAAAATACTTGAGAATCTAAACGAGATGCTGTGGACTCTTCGTGGCAAGAAACTTGTTTTGCCTGGCATTTTTAGATCGTTGGTTTTGGACCAAAGGGAAATAGCGTTTTTGCGATATCATACTTGATGTGATGGAACCAGCAAGAAGTTTTTCCCAACAAAGCGAGTAGGTGACCAGTGGAGGGGAGCTTGCAAATGCCAGAGTTGTTGAATGATTTAGGGATGGTCCCTAAGCATTTTCAACAGTTTTGATACTGGGAGAAGGATTCCTTCAGGCCAGGCAGAAAACATGCCGTGACTACATAGAGTAAGCCCACAGGCCCACGACTTTAGGGAAGGCTGTCCCCAGGACTTAGTGAATGGTCCTTGTTCGTAAAGGGATATATGCCTGTGAACACACGAAGGGAGGCACCCAGTAGCAGGTAAAGGTACATCACAGCCATCGATGGAGGTGTGCTTAAGTTGTCCAATAGGCAGATTTTAGGTTAAAGGTGTGAGTAGGTGGGATAGAATAATAATCTAGTTTAGTTGTTGGGATATCTTAAGACTTAGATGGTGTTGGGGGCTGGGGTTGGTGGGTGGCGGCATGGACTAGCCATGATGTTCTCAAAGGGTGGAAATGTAGTAAGAATTTGGACGAAATCCCTGCGAAACCATCCAGTATCTAGTGTATCCATACCTGGTGTAGACTGTGTGCTGTCCAGTAGTTCCTGACTCACTGGGGTGGGTGGTCATGGGCCGCTTGGTCAGAGGTTGGAAAAGGCTTGCGCCAGTATCCCACTAAAACGAAATGTGAAAGGGAATGTTTCACATAGTTGTAATTATTAGCAGTAGTAGTATATATATCACATGGTAGTATATTACTGACAGTAGTAATGGTCTTGTTCCTCGGAAAATGCCAGGAGAGACGAAATAAAGATGCGTTGAATTTCGGCAACATGCCATTATCGAAACGAATAGCAGAAGTGAATTGAATATGACTTACTGATGATCCTACTTTATTTTTCAGTTTTTTTGTTTGTTGAAACAGCAAGCCACAGTTTTTACAGACGCCAACATTCAAGGGGTTATACAAGATGCAGTTGTCAGCCATTACAACGATAGAGTGTATATCTAATTAGGAATTAGAATACGCGAAAAAATATGTGCACATGCCAACGAATTGAAGTAAGTGGGCATCACGCATCACGTTTCATTCAAACATGCAAGTGCGTGCAAGTAAGCGCATCACGCATCAATTGTACATGCAAGCAATTTCAGTTAAACGGGCGGCGTGCATCACGCGTCAGGTATCACTCATGCATGTAAACGATTTTAAGATGTGTGATGTGGTTTACGATTGATGTATGATGTGTAATATATCGCGCATCAAGCATCAAGCAAATATTACGTTTGCATGATCGGCCATGATGAGCTCTGTACGTTAAGGTTTGGCCGCCGACTTTCTATGGGAAAGGATTCACCTATTTTCCTGTTTGGGTGGTTCGATGCTCTGTGGATGACTTGGAGCTCTGAAAGGGGCATAGGGTCCCTACCTGCCTGGATTTCAGCATTGGCGTGTTTTACCAAAAAAGGTCACCGAAAGGGTTATTCCCTGTTTTTTTTAGCGTCTCGCAAGTGTTCATTATGTCTCAAACGAATTGGGCGCATGGACGCCCGGCACAGGCTGTGTCCCTCCCATGTTTTTCACACAGTTTACACTCAATTTCGTAAACCACATTTTTGCGTGCAAACACTTTGCAAGCCAGACTTGCATAAATGACATCTATATTACTCGGGCACTTGGGCTTCGAGATTGAAGGTTTCACATTGGAATTTTTTAGCTTGTCGTTTTCCAAGCTAAGTGTGCACGCACTTTTAATTTTTTCGGCGATGTGTGTGACTTGCCAAAGCAATTGCTCATATACGTAAGGTAGCGCTGAATATCAGTCGTCCGAGAGCAGGTGTTCCCGTCCCCCACAA